CTCCCTCCCTCCCTCCCTCCCTCCCTCCCTCTCTCTCCCCCCTACATTGCATATAGGAAACCTACATTTTGCAGAGTATTTTTCCCCATCTGGATGACTGCTGTCTTCAACAGGGCTAGAAGCCTTTGGTCCAGTTCTCAGCTCTGCCACATCTTCTTGGAGGATCTCATCTCGGTTCTGGAAGTGGAAATCTACAAAAGGATGTGAGTAGAACTTAAACAATTGTTTGGCTTGGAAAAAGTATACAAAGGGCTCCAATAAAGAGCTATATTTGTACTTCAGGGTTGAAATGAGGGGTCCTCAGTGCTCTCTGAACTTGGTGGTTTTTCTTGCAGACATTTCATTCCTTAACTAGGCAACATCATCAGTGCACTTTGCATAGTTGGGGTAGTAAAACCTCTGCAGGAAAACCACCAAGGTCAGAGAGCAATAAGGACCTCTCATACAAGGGGCTGTATGTCCACAAATGTTGAACAGTGGGCCCCTCTTCAACAGACTATAGCCTTGCCATATGATTCATGGTTTATCGGTCCATGGCTAGCTCAAGAGATGAGGCAATCCATGCCCTATTGGGTGATCATGTCAGAGATATTTCCTTACTTAAACAGAGAAACAGAATGATCATAAGCGGGCAAAAAAGCAGTGGGAGAAGGAGAGACTTCTGATTTCCTGCTGGCTTCCCCATTGAGTTTCCTTTTGGGAACCTGGCCAGGAGCATTGGAAATCTTCCTTCCCTTCCCTTCCCTTCCCTTCAGGCAGGTAAGTGGCTGCTGCTGGGTAAGAGAGGGAGCAAGGGATTGTGAGACTGGCTTGGAAACTGTCATGGAGCATTAAAATGAAGATCACATGATTGCAGCAGCAACGCAGCAGCGGCCAATACCACTGAAGCAAAACTTTGTCAAACTTCTTACTTTTTGGAGTCATGGATCCCAGATTTTGGGCACATTAGCCGATTTAAGGTAGTTTCATTCAAAAATCGTTGCCCTATGACGCACTTTTCTCCAGTTAAAGGTCATGACAGTGGGAGTTTTAACAGTATATAAATTTATGGAGTTTAGGGCCATGAATTGGCAATTAGTAATAGGACTTGAGGGAATCTGAAATAGTAGATGCACTTAACTGGGGGTAAATGGTTTGCAATGAAGATATATAAGCGTAGGATTGATATTCCTAATTTTTCTACATAATACAGCTACTTGAAATGGTTTGGAGACTCATTCATTAAACTATTTGATTTCTTGCTAAGCAATATAGCAATTTAGGACGTACACTTTGAGGTTTTCCAAAGTGGATAATGCTTTTCTTTTTTTTTTTTTTCTAATGGGGCATTATGTTTTCAGTTTCTTCTGCAGCTACAATTTGATCCAATTATTTCTGAAAGAAACAAAGATGTTATGATTATAAGTTGCACGTTCAGGAGGGAAGGAAAGTGATGAACATTGGTTCATCCAGTGTGGCATTGTCTACATCACCTGCTGGGTTTTACCATAAATCTTTTTTGGCTTTAGCTGGGGATCTCAAGGAAAGACAGGCTGGATTTTCTTGCTACAAAACTTGGGCTTTGCAACTAACGTTCCATCAGTCAATAGTGTTTCAGGACATCTAACCGTCACTTTTTAGATTCCAGGGACAGCCCAGACAAGGTCTTTTCAATTCCGTGGAGGCTAATTCCAAACAGCAAACATGAGTTTTTAACTAATCAGAGACAAACGTACACCTTTCCAGTCCAGCACATCGCACCATTTTTTCCGTAGGACGATTCTCATTCCCCCCCCCCCTTTATTATTGCACCAGTTGCCTTTTTCACTGAGGCCAGACTGAGAACATCGTGAGTTCTTTTACTTAGCCATGTAGCCTAATCCTCTTTAACCAGGATTGCCCCCTTCTGGTTATCTTATTATATTGTCTTCCGTAGAAATAAATAAAAGTTTCACTACTAGACACAATGCTGCAGAATGTAAGGCAGGAAATGATATCGAAGGGAACTTCTAACTAAACAGTTGAATTCATTTCTTTGCCAGATATGCAAAGGATAAAGCGCTAAGGATAAAGCGCTAAGGATAAAGCGCTAAGACTTTTGTGCTTGCTATTCCTCTTCTGTCTTGATAACAGCCTAGAAATGAACTCTTCATAGTCTTTAGAACTTCTTTAGATTGTCTTTGGGTGATGTTCTCAATTCATTTAATACCCATTAATCCAGAGGTCCCCAACCTTTTGGGCACCAGGGACCGGTTCAGTGGAAAGAGGTTTTTCCACAGACCGGAGGGGGCGTGGTTTTGTGTGCTGACTGCATCTCGTGGATGGATCTTTGGTTGTTTGTGCGGACCGGTTGTTGGCATGCCGCGGCCCGGTACTGGTCCATGGACTGGGGATTGGGGACCTCTGCGCTAATGGACAAGCGATGCTTGTGATGGTGCTATTTTTTTTCCTTTTTACAGACAGTCCTCAACATAAAGCCGTAACTGAGCCTGCCCATTATGGTCGAATATTATAATGGTCGTAAATTGGGTCAGTCATGTGACTGACCAGATTTTTATGATCTTTTTGGTAGCAGTTGCTGAGTGAACAACGTGGACGTTAAATGAATGCCACGGTCACTAAGCAAACCCACTGTTTGCTGCGGCACAGTCTTGCTAAAAAACAGATGTAACTAAAACCGTCATGAAACACATTTATGTGACTGTGAGACACTGCAAACTGCTGTAAATATAGCTAAGTTGTCAAGCTCCTGAAGTGGGACCTATAGCCGCAAATGGAAGGGCAACCATCAGAACTTCAGAACTGGGTCATAATTCACTTTTTTCCCAAGCAGATTGTAACGGATTCCAACGGTTGCTAAGCAACTGGTCGCAATTCAAGAATTATCTGTACTCTCCATCTTCCCTGCCTGCCTTGATCATTTTCATTGGGACTGTTGTATGATGACCCAGAGACGCTGCAGACTACCAGAGAGAGTCAGACAATTGCATTCATTCATCCAGGGGACTGGCTGAGGAATTCTGGAAGTTGAAGTCCACAAGTCATAAAAGGGCCAAGTTTGAAGACCCCTGGCCTTGGCACTAAGGTAATGTCAAGGACACATATCACAAGAGCTTCACTGATTTTTTTTTTGTCTACTTGGAACATAAAAACCCTCCCTTTTTACAACCCTGTAGTCCCCATTCCACGTAGAGTTGGGGTGACTGGATGGAACTGAGTGTTTACTGGGCAGATGCCCTTCCTGTTGCCATGTGGAGTTTGCAGCAGATATTATATTTTTTTGCGCATTAGGAGAGAAAGATCTTCAAACTTCGAACATAATATCAAGTAGCAATTCTTCTCCATTAAACTGAATAAGAAATTCTTGGCGCAACACTTTTTTTTTGTACATGATTGTCCATGAAAGACCAGATCCACAGATGAATAACAATAGCAATAGCACTTAGACTAATATACTGTTTCATAGTGCTTTACAGCCCTCTCTAAGTGGTTTACAGAATCAGCATATTGGCCCCAACAATCTGGGTTCTCATTTTACCAACCTCAGAAGGATGAAAGGCTGAGTCAATCTCGAGACAGTGAGAATCGAACTCCTGGCAGTGAGCAGTGAGTTAGCCTGCCATACTGCATTCTGACCACTGTGCCACCATGAAGGTTCAATTAAACTGATGTATTGCTAACTCTTCTCAACTAATAGCACCTGCTTGGAATTAAATAAGGGTCAATGGCACTCAAGTGGGGTTGGACTTAATTCGTTTGTGGCTACTCAAGGATCCCTCTTTTGACTCTGCCCCAAAGTTCTATCAGTCCTTCTCCCACAATGATTTAAGAAGAAAACTGTATTTTGAGCTTCTTGGTTGGTAGCATCTTTACATTTGAATCTCATTCTGAGTACCTCATATCTTCTTTCCCCCTTTTTGTCCTCTAGGAGTTGAGTGTGATCTCATGACTTCTCCTGCAAACACAATGAAAAACATGTCATGCAATGCCACCATTGATGAGTTTCGGAGTCAGGTGTATCCCGTGACATATTCCATAATATCTATCCTGGGATTTATGGGAAATGGCTTTGTGTTATGTATCCTCATCAGGACATACCAGGAGAAGACAGCGTTCCAGATATACATGTTCAACCTTGCCATTGCAGATCTTCTCTTTGTATGTACTCTGCCCCTGCGAGTGGTCTATTACCTCTATAAAGGCAACTGGTTCTTTGGTGACTTTTTGTGCCGGATCAGCTCCTATGCCATGTATGTCAACTTGTACTGTAGCATCCTGTTCATGACGGCGATGAGTTTCTTCCGTTGCATCGCCATTGTTTTCCCGATTTGGAACATCCAATTTATCTCCCGGAAGAGAGCCATCATTGTATGTGTTGGCATTTGGTTCTTTGTAACCCTGACCACCACCCCATTTTTGCAGAAAAGTGCTCAGTTGTCTGACGAAAATGTAACCAAATGCTTTGAGCCACCAAGGAACAAGGATGTGAGGAAGCTGATGGTTCTCCACTACATTTCATTGTTCGTTGGTTTCATCTTTCCTTTCATCACCATCACCATCTGCTACGCCATGATCCTAAACAAGCTCCTGAAGAATTCCATGCATAAGAAAGAAGGAATTCGTAGAAAAGCCATCTGGATGATCATAATTGTGACCATCGTCTTCCTCGTGAGTTTCACCCCATACCATGTCCAGCGCACTGTCCACCTCCATTTGATGAAAGATGACACTTCCTGTGAGAAGAGTCTCTACATGCAGAAATCGGTGGTGATAACCTACTCTCTTGCAGCCTTCAACTGTTGCTTCAACCCACTTCTCTATTACTTTTCTGGAGGCAACTTTCGTAGGAGACTTTCCACTTTCCAAAGGGGCTCTATTTCCAGTTCTCATCACCGGAAGATGTCCTCAAAGATAGATGAAACGGTTAATGGAAATGCTGTGGAACATAAGGCTTAGTAAGGGCTTCTTCATCTGTCCCTTGGCAGAAACATACATTTTGGAAGTGACAGGAAGACTGTAGGTCTAGCACCTTGTAAAATTGAAACTATGAGCTGGCATGGACAATGCGCTTGCAATTATACCAACTTCCCCCAAAACAGATGCCAATCTGTGATGCCAATTATGGTGTCGGTGGTTTACCTAGTTTCTCAACATGATGCCCGGAGAAGCAAGTGTGTATATAGACATTCGCTTGGCAACAGCCAGATTTCCTTGCTCCGTCTGTTATTTCCAAATATGCCTCTGGGATCTGAATAAAACTTAAAAAATATTATAAGACATAAAAACGATGATGTAGTCAATCCAATGCTTTGTTTGGAACTGTGCCCGTTTGCTCAGAAAAAGGCAGTGATAAGCAAGGGAATAGGGCAAAAGAAGGAACTAAAGAAATTGCAGGTAGATTTGAAGCTGAGGGTTCAAAGGCACTAGGCCAGGTTAAGGCACTAGAGGTTAAGGCACTAGGCCAGAAAGTGGGAGATCATGAGTTCAAGTCCTGTCTCAGCGATGCAAGCCGGCTGGGTAACTTTGGGCCAATCACCAGAAGATGGTGTATTCTAGTTCCACCTTAGGTGTGAAAACCAGCTGGGTGACTTTGGGCCAATCACCAGGAGATGGTGAATTCTAGTCCCACTTTAGGCATGAAAGCTCAGCTGGGTGACTTTGGGTTAGTCCCTCTCTCTCTCTCCCCATGTCACCTCAGAGTTGTTATTGTGGGGAAAATAGGAGGAAGAAATGTGTTGGACACGTTCTCACATCTTATTTGTAAAAAGTTGATTTCATAATAGCGCTTTACTTGTTCTTTGAGACCCGAAGATTGTTTGTGCTTGAACACCTTTCTGCATCCCAAGCTTACAAGAAACAAACTTCTTCAGTCTTTCTGCCCAAACATGGCAGAGCAAGTTGAATATATATATATTGGTTGTATTAGTACCACTTTATAAATCTTTAGTAAGGCCACACCTGGAATACTGCATCCAGTTTTGGTCACCACATTACAAAAAAGATGTTGAGACTTTGGAAAGAGTGCAACTAAGATGATTAAAGGCCTGGAGGCTAAAACATAGGAAGAACGGTTACAGGATTTGGGTATGGCTAATCTAGAAAAAAGGACTAGGAAGGACATGATAGCAGTATTCCAGTATTAGAAGGGCTGCCCCAAAGAAGAGGTGGGGGCAACTTATTTTCCAAAGCACTTGAAAGCAGGACAAGAAACAATGGATGGAAACCCATCAAGGAGAGAAGCAACCTGGAACTAAGGAGAAACTTTCTAATGATGAAAACAATCAACCAGTGGAACAACTTGCCTTCAGAAGTTGTGGGTGCTTCAACACTAAAGGTTTTTAAGAAGAGATTGGACAACCATTTGTCTGAAATGGTATAGGGTCTCCTGCTTGAGCAGGGGGTTGGATTAGAAGACCTCCAAGGTCCCTTCCAGCTTGAGTCTGAACTGGACTGAACTGATTTCTAATGTGATATTATGGCTGCCTACCCTTGTTGTGATATTCTCAACTCCAATAGTACTAATTATTCCTTGGTTAAACATACATGGATCGCTAAGATGAACTATACGGGGGAAAAAGCCATATTTTCCTAACTTGGAGATCTCCTGATGAATTTAACGTCTGGAATCCTTTGTGCTGGTTAGGAGTTTTTAGCAATTTCCGGTGCAATGTGTCAGGGAGAATACTGATCTGGGGAAAACTAAGGTCAACCAAGGCCTGATAGTTATAAGAAAGAGAGTTTTTCTTTCTTTGGCCTAGAAATGTTGAATGGGGAACACTTGGCTAAGTCATCTTGAGGACATCCTTTCTTGATAATGGGCCACTTTTCTCTTTCATCCGAAAAGCAAGCTTTTCTCTTTTGACGTGGAAAAGGAAATTGAGCTTCTTATTTTAAACTGGGAGGTGCAATCTGCTATTAAAGGAAGAGGCAGTTATGGCAGAGAGCTAAAAATATGAGCAAGGTGGGACCGTGAGATTTTGGAGAAAGAAGGAGAATCTATTATGACATATTGGCTTTGACCCTAATCTTCAGGTAAAAAACTGAAAGGAAACTGTTTTTCAACTTTCAGCAAGAGCAGAAAAGAGGAAACAGTATTTTCTTAAACTACGTCATAGTAAATGAATATTAAAGTTTGGAAGGCAATCTAATTCCACTTTTAAGGATCAAGCAGGAGGGAAGAGCAAATCTATTGCCAGGAGATGGGAGAGGTGTTTTTTTGACATATTTATTGATTCATATTTATGACAGTTGCAGCATCCCGGGGTCACGTGACCCCCCCTTTTGCGACCTTCTGACAAGCAAAGTCCAGGGGGAAGCCGGATGCAATTAACAACCAGGTTACTAACCTAACATTTGCAGCGATTCACTTAACAGCTATGGCAAGAAAGGTTATAAAAATGGGGGGAAACTCACTTAGTAACTGTCTTGCTTAGCAACGGAAATTTTGGGATCCATTGTCGCCGTAAGTCGAGGATTACTTGTATTGGAGAGCCACATCTAGCTAACATGGGCCATGATCTACAGCAACAATAACTGTAGTTAAATAAAGGGACGGTAAAGAAGAGGGGGCTTCTTTTCTTTTGCGCAGAAATAGCTCTGTATATTGGAGAAATGGAATGACAAGCATACATCCCGTTTCCTATCCACTTCCATCCCATCACATATATTTATTTTAAGTTGGGAAGGAGATGTGTGAAAGCAAAATGCCCATAGAGATAGAGTGCCTAGAGAGGCCCTTTGTTTCTCTAGGACAGGGGTAGGCAACCTTGGCTTTTTTTTATGACTCGTGGACTTCAACTCCCAGAATTCCTGAGCCAGCATGGCTGGCTCATGAATTCTGGGAGTTGAAGTCCACGAGTCATAAAAGTGCCAAGGTTGCTTACCCCTGCTCTAGGACATCTTGGTAGATGTGAGGATTAGTTAATTCTACGGTCAACCGTTTTAGCGACTCGGATGGCCAGCAGGAGTTTATGTAATCCCAAACAAAACTCTAATCCCTGGAGTTATTTGGCTAATTCAACTCAAGTAAATGTAATGTAAGCTCAACCTTTTTACATTACTATCCCAAAGAGATAAGGGCTCCCGTGAGGCGATTAAATCCCATATGCAAAATTACAAAACTGTTCCATTGTCTACACACACACACACACACACACACACACACATACATACGTGTGTGTGTGTGTGTATGTGTGTGTTGGCAAGTTGCCATGGTGATTCAGTCAAAGTTGGGATGTCCTTCTGGGAACTGGATATGATTGAATATCCTGGTCACACAAGTGTAAGCCTGCAGCCAACTTGGTGACAAAATGAGCTTCGGGGTCATGATATTCTGCAACTGTTTTTGACAGGGTGGCAGAGAAGAGCTTGGAGAGTAGAAGTGGGGACACGGTGGGCGAAAATTAAAAATAATAGACAGCCTTTTCTTTTTCGGCCCTCATCCAAAATCCAATCATGTCGGCTAAACAAAGCCGTAACCCCCATGGCTTCCCACAATCGAGGTTTCTGGTTTTTCAGCAGCTGGATCGACCTCTTTTCAAGATCCCAAGAACTGTGGCTCAGGGGGGGAGGGAAAGGGGGAGGGAGAGATAAACAGAGGCCGAAATAAATCTGAGCAGTGGGAAAGCACACAACACATTCCTTCAAAGGGGACAGTGGCTCAGCATCAGAAAATGTAGCCTGCTGAGGAACTAATGTCAACAGCCTTGGAATCTCTCGGCAAGACGGCCTTTGGGCAAACTTTAAGACATTATTAATTGCCCTGCTAGTGGGAAACGCAAACATTTGCCATGGTGGGAATCGGCAGAGCTTCTGCGAACGAGAGAGAGGTAGCAGGAGAGAGGAGAATGTGGACGGAATCCTCAAAGAGCATGGGCTTTGTAGTTGCACGGAAGCTGGTAAAACGTCAACCCTTGTGTCCAATGCTGTGCTAGTTGTACAAGCTAAGTCATCGTTCTGTGATGCTCTGTGGAGATCTAACCTATGCTCCGCTCCTTGGAATCCAGTCTGCCAGCTAAATGCTTGGATCCTTCCTTCTAAGAAAATTAGTAGACCAGCCCGATAGAAGAGCTATCAAAGGGATTCTCTTTTCCTAAATGTCCATGTGGTTGCAAACAATGTTTCATTATAAGCACAATGTACTTGGTTGAATGTAATATGTACGTACTTATGTGCGGTACCAATTTTTTTGTTATGGCATTGGCTGGTTATATGTAGCATTTCCTTCCTTCCTTCCTTCCTTCCTTCCTCCTTCCTTTCCTTTTCCCTCCCTTCCACTTCCTTCCTCCCTCCCTCCCTCCATAAAATGAATGCAAATTATAAATATGTTGATGATGCGATGTGTAAGGCTTTTATTTTTTTCTATTGTTCTTGCCATGTTATGAAATTGGGTTACATTAAAAAAAATAAAAAATGCATTTTGTTGTAGAATTGCTGCCCACTGTTGAATGCTGCCTAGAGCAGACAGTGTGTCTGGAGACCCATAATACCCCATTGTGATAGACACAGATTGCCGAGTTGTTCACATGTGCTGGACATCCTTGTCCATCTTCCCCACAGCCATTGGTTATGATGAGTGGCAAGGAGAGTAGCTGGGTGTTATTGTATCCAAAGAGCAGCAAGTTGGAAAAGCTGGCTGTGTAGGTGATCCATTTAATGACCTTCAGAGAAAATGTGGAAGGTACGCACTTAAACTTTATCCATGTCTTTCAAATCTGTCCAAATCACTCTTAGCAGCAGTGTTTTGTACCATTTGAAAAGTTGGCACGAGAAATGTACTTCTGTTCAGAATAACAGAATTGGAAGGGATCTTGAAGATCTTCTAGTCCAACCCCCTGTTTTGGAGAATAGGTTGATGCCCTGTTCTTGGTGGCAGCCCCTTAGGTATTGGTTGGCTGCTATCGTGTCAAGATGTCTGTGGAAGACAGTCTTTCATCTTTACAGTATATGCATAGCTATCCTCTCCAGATTACCACAACAGTAAAGAATACATCAACTCTAGATTAGCAGGGAAAAATACAGCTCCATGTTGCATTGATTAGCTCCCCTGCCTTGTTTGGAAGTTGACATTTTATGAACAACAACAACCTAGA